CCCAGGTAGTAGCAGTAGTAGTGTGTGATCATTATGACTCCGATATAATGTTGTAAATATCTCTCGTTTTTACATAAACAAGAGACGTGAGTGAGGACCCAGATAGTGACAAGTAAGGGAAGTATTTGTGGTCATAAACAGGCAATAATATATAGTACAGTATAATCCGTATGTGCTATAGAGACGAACCATAATAATTCATAAAACTCCTAAATACATAAAATATCGTAAATTATTATTATTATTATTATTATTATTATTATTATTATTATTATTATTATTATTATTATTATTATCATCATCATCACTTAGGACAAAAAAACTAATGAACCTTATATATAGCAAGAAGAAATATATAATTAATTCGTGATAATAAGTTAAGTAATCACCCCGTAAACGATAGTACTGGCAGGTGAGTTGTATTTGTTTGTTGTAGCTGCTGAGGTTATGAAGCACCAGGTTTTCTTTTAAATTTCCACAACCACAACCAACCTAACCTAACCTAACCTAACCACAACTTTCAACTTTGATTAATGAAAATAAATTTGTTAAATACCTGGAAATTTTTTGTTAGTTATATTTATAAACAGAAAAGCATAAACCAAGTAGGTGCAGTGGTTGTAGGTGCAGTGGTTGTAGGTGTAGTGGTTGTAGGTGCAGTGGTTGTAGGTGTAGTGGTTGTAGGTGCAGTGGTTGTAGGTGTAGTGGTTGTAGGTGCAGTGGTTGTAGGTGCAGTGGTTGTAGGTGTAGTGGTTGTAGGTGCAGTGGTTGTAGGTGTAGTGGTTGTAGGTGCAGTGGTTGTAGGTGTAGTGGTTGTAGGTGCAGTGGTTGTAGGTGCAGTAATAGTGGTTGTAGATGCAGGAATAGTGGTTGTAAATTCAGTGGTTGTAGGTATAGTGGTAGTGGTTGTAGTGTTGTAAATGGTGGAGTACAGTGTTGTGAATGGTGGAGTACAGTGTTGTGGACAGTAGGGTACAGTGTTGTGGATGGTGGAGTACAGTGTTGTGGATGGTGGAGTACAGTGTTGTGGATGGTGGAGTACAGTGTTGTGGATGGTGGAGTACAGTGTTGTGGATGGTGGAGTACAGTGTTGTGGATGGTGGAGTACAGTGTTGTGAATGGTGGATACAGTGTTGTGGAGAGTGGAGTACGGTGTTGTGAATGGTGGATACAGTGTTGTGGAGATGAAGTGCAGTGTTGTTGTGGATGGTGGAGTACAGTGTTGTGGATGGTGGTGTACAGTGTTGTGGATGGTGTAGAACAGTGTTGTAGGTGGTGAGTACAGTGTTGTGGCTGGTTGAGTACAGTGTTGTAGATGATGGAGTACAGTGTTGTGGATGGTGGAGTAGTGTTGTGGATGGTAGAGTACAGTGTTGTGGATGGTAGAGTGCAGTGTTGTGGATATTAGAGTACAGTGTTGTGGATGGTGTTTGGTGTGGATGTTAGAGTACAGTGTTGTGGATGGTGGAGTACAGTGTTGTAGGTGGTGGAGTACAGTGTTGTGGATGGTTGAGTACAGTGTTGTAGATGGTGGAGTACAGTGTTGTGGATGGTGGAGTGGTGTTGTTGTGGATGGTAGAGTACAGTGTTGTGGATGGTAGGTACAGTGTTGTGGATAGTAGAGTGCAGTGTTGTGGATGGTAGAGTACAGTGTTGTGGATGGTGGAGTACAGTGTTGTTGTGGATGGTGGAGTACAGTGTTTGTGGATGGTGTAGAACAGTGTTGTGGGTGGTGGAGTACAGTGTTGTGGATGGTGGAGTACAGTGTTGTGGATGGTAGAGTGGTGTTATTGAATTGGTGGGTACAGTGTTGTGGGTGGTGGAGTACAGTGTTGTGGATGGTGGAGTAGAGTGTTGTGGATGGTGGAGTAGGGAGGTGTTGTGGATGGTGGAGTAGAGTGTTGTGGATGGTGGAGTACAGTGTTGTGGATGGTGGAGTACAGTGTTGTGGATGGTGGAGTACAGTGTTGTCGATGGTGGAGTACAGTGTTGTGGATGGTGGAGTACAGTGTTGTGGATGGTGTAGTACAGTGTACTGGGTCGTGGAGTACAATGTACTGGGTGGTGAAGTACAATATACTAGGTGGTGGAGTACAACATACTGGGTGGTGGAGTACAGTGATGTGGGTGGTGGAGTACAATATAGTGGATGGTGGAGTACAGAACACTGGGTGGTGCTGTACAGTGTACTGGGTGGTTAAGTACAATATACTGGGTGTGGAGTACAATATACTGGGTGGTGGAGTGCAGTGTACTGGGTGGTGGAGTACAATAGACTGGCTGGTGGAGTACAGGTGGCCTGGGTGGTGGACTACAGTGTACTGGGTGGTGGAGTACAATAGACTGGCTGGTGGAGTACAGTGTACTGGGTGGTGGACTACAGTGTACTGGGTGGTGGAGTACAATGTGTACTGGGTGGTGAGTACAATATATTGGGTGGTGAAGTACAATATTCTGGGTGGTGGACCTGCAGAGTACTGGGTGGTTAAGTACAATGTGTGCTGGGTGTGGAGTACAATATGCTGGGTGGTGGAGTACAGTGTGCTGGGTGGTGGACTACAGTGTACTGGAGTAATTAGTGCAATGTGTACTGGGTGGTGAGTACAACACTGGGTGGTGAAGTACAATATTCTGGGTGGTGGACTACAGAGTACTGGGTGAGGTGGAGTACAATGTACTGGGTGGTGGAGTGTACAATATACTGGGTGGTGGAGTACAATATACTGGGTGGTGGAGTACAATATACTGGGTGGTGGAGGACAGTGTACTGGGTCGTGGAGTACAATGTACTGGGTGATGGAGTACAATGTACTAGGTGGTGGAGCACAGTATAATGGGTGGTGGAGTACAGTGTACTGGGTGGTGGAGTACAGTGTACTTGGTGGTGGAGTACACTGTACTGGGTTTTGGAGTACAGTGTACTGGGTGGTGGAGTACAATGCACTGGGTGGAGGAGTACAATATAGTGGGTGGTGGAGTACAATGTACTGGGTGGTGGGTACAATATACTGGGTGGTGGAGTGCAATGTGCTGGGTCGTGGACTACAGTGTGCTGGGTGGTGGAGTACAATGTACTGGGTGGTGAGTACAATATAGGAGGTGGACAGACAGCTGGGTGGTGGAGCACATTGTATTGGGTGGTGGAGTACAATATACTGGGTTATGGAGTACAGTGTACTGGGTGGTGGAGTACAGTGTACTGGGTGGTGGAGTACAGTATACTGAGTTGTGGAGTACAGTGAACTGGTGGGGGGTACAGTGTACTGGGTAGTGGAATACAGTATACTCGGTGGTGGTACATGTGTACCGGGTGGTGGAGTACAGTGTACCCGGGTGGTGATACAGTGGTACAGGTGGGTGGTGGAGTACAGTGTGCTACTAAAGTACAGTGTGTTGGGTGGGTACAGTGTGCTGGGTGGTGGAGTACAGTGTACTGGGTGGTGGAGTACAATGTCTTGTGGTGGAGTGCAATGTGCTGGGTGGTGGAGTACAATGGACTGGGTGGTGGGTGGTATATAGACCTGTACTGGGTGTTGGAGTACAGTGTACTGGGTGGTGGAGTACACTACTGGGTTGTGGAGTACAATATACTGGGTGGTGGAGTACACTACTGGGTGGTGGAGTACACTACTGGGTGGTGGAGTACAAAGTACTGGGTGGTGGAGTACAATGTGTGCTGGGTGGTGGAGTACAGTATACTGGGTGGTGGGTTCAGTGTGTTGGGTGGTGGAGTACAATATGTTGGGTGGTTGGTACAATGTACTTGGTGGTGGAGTAAAGTGTGCTGGAGGGTGGAGTGCAATATAGTGGGTGGTGGAGTACACTGTACTGGGTGGTGGAGTCAATGTACTGGGTGGTGGGTACAGTATACTGGATGGTGGAATACAGTGTATTGGGTGGTGGAGTACAATATACTGGGTGGTTGAGTACACTACTGGGTGGTGGAGTACATTGTATTGGGTGGTGGAGTACAATATGCTGGCTTATGGTACAGTGTACTGGGTGGTGGAGTACAGTGTACAGGTGGTGGAGTACAGTGTGCTGGGTGGTGGAGTACAGTATACTGGGTGGTGGAGTACAGTGTACTGGGTGGTGTGTACAGTGTGCTGTGTGTGAAATACAGTGTGTGCGTGGTGGAGTACAGTACTGGGTGGTGGGTGCAATATTCTGGGTGGGGACAGTGCATATTGCACTGGCTGGGTGGTGGTGGTGTGTGGGTGGTGGAGTACAGTGTGGCTAGTGCTGGAGTACACTGTACTGGTGGTGGAGTGCACAATGTGTGTGTGGTGGGTACAGTGTATTGGGTGGTGGAGCACTGTACTGGGTGGTGGAGTACAGTGTACTAGGTGGTGGGGTGTGTACAGTTACAGTGTGGTGGTGGAGTACTGTACTGGGTGGTGGAGTACAGTGTAGCTAGGGTGGTGGGGTGCACTGTGCTGGGGGTGGGAGTTGCAGTGTGCTAGGTGGTGGTACACTGTGCTGGTGGTGACAGTGTACTGGTGTTGGAGTACAGTGTACTGGGTGGTGAGTACAGTGTACTGGGTGGTGGGGTACAGTGTACTGGGTGGTGGGTACAGTGTGCTGGGTGGTGGAACAGTGTACTGGGTGGTGAAGTACAGTGTGCTGGGTGGGAGTACAGTGTGCTGGGTGGTGGAGTATAGTGTGCTGGGTGGTGGGGTACAGTGTACTGGGTGGGGAATTGCAGTGTGCTGGGTGGTGGAGTATAGTGTGCTGGGTGGTGGGGTACAGTGTGCTGGGTGGTGGAGTATAGTGTGCTGGTGGTGAGTACAGTGTACTGGGTGGTGGGAGTACACTGTGCTGGTTTGATACAGTGTACTAGGTGTTGAATTACAGTGTGCTAGGTGTTGGAGTACAGTGTACTGGGTGGTGGAGTACAGTGTACTGGGTGGTGGGGTACAGTGTACTGGGTGGTGGGGTACAGTGTACTGGGTGGTGGGGTACAGTGTACTGGGTGCTAGAGTAGTTTGTTTATCACTTACGGGTCTGTGCCTCCTGATCCGCTATATCTGGGGGTGTGGGCGGGGCGGGGGCGGCGGCCGTGGGTGAGGTGGGGGCGGCGCACCCCTTGCTTCCCCCTTCGCGGGAGAGGGGGACCTTCTTGACGAGGTAGCAGCGGGGCATGGCGGTGTCGCTGCCCTGATGGGGGGAAAGCAGGCAGGAGACAGCGTGGGGGGCCGACATTCAGGCTGGTAGTTAAGGGGTGGCGTGGTAGCCTGCCCGTGACACCTTCACCCTGTAGGTTCCCTGGACACGTCCACGCTGCCGGGGGAGGCACACCTCTCACAACGACTCGCCCTTCACACCAGTATTCAGCATAGCCACCATGAATATATTGCCACTCTTAGTAGGGGATCACATTTTTTTTCCAGACACACCATATTCAATACACACCAGCTGGAGGAAACATTGTGAGGTGTCGCATGTTGCACATGATACTGGAGCACACGCGAAGCCGACTTGCATAGCAACAGTATTGTGGATTAGGGGCTCCACACAGCCACATCAGGAGCGGGGGAGCCTTGTGTGAGGTTCGTTGTGCATGTTGCAGTAAAGGCACGAGGTGAGCAGGCCAGGCCACCCAACAGGGCCCCGGCGTGTCCTCGGTCACCTCACTACCACCTGTTTCACTGGAAGCAACAATTGTCAGCCACCACAGCCGCAGCCACCCAGCATGGACACCTTCGACGTGTTGCTCCTGTTGATGACGCAGCTCCCGCGCTGCTGCTCCAGTTGTGCCTCCCCCTCCACACCCTCAGCCCTTACGCCCGCCGCTACAGCCGCCACAACCGCGATCCTGGCCGTAGTTTTGCCCGCAGAAGTAAGAGTCTGCTCCCCGGCCTTGTTCGCTCCGACATTACCACCACCTCCCTGTTCCCTGGACGCGCACGCGCTTCTGCCTCCTTGTCCCACAATGATTCACACGTTTCACCTCCCAAGTCCACCACAACCGTCCCACAATTCATTGACATATATACCGTAACTTTAGGTAGTTTCAGAAAAGTTCATATCCCTAAGGTTTGCTTCTGTAACTTTAAGAAAAAGTATGTGTGTAGTTATTATGTACGGGGCGAACAAGAAGGCCTTCTGTAGATAGCTACTCGATAGAGATAATAGAATTTTCTTTGGATTTGGTTCCAAATCGCTAGTACAATAGAGACTCGTTCTGAAACGTAACCGAGCTTATACGACGAAAGGGAATCCACAGACTTAAAGTGTCATATTTTCTTACGTATTGTCAATATTTTGGCGCGACTTTGTAATTGTTCTTAAATCCTGTTTAATGAATACGGAAACGAAACAGTTGGCAGTAAGAGAAAAATGACCTTGGTAACGAAACAGCGGAGCCATAGCCGTATATTCGAGGATCAATATTTGGGGAGCGCGTCACCTGTTCCTCAAAGCTGGCGCGTGAGCCTGCAACACAGAGACAGTCTTGCCACTGCTGTGAGCTTCCTAACCGGACTGCCCACTATTTACCTCACTCACAAAATAACTGGTCATATGATTTACATTATTTTGATGATTCAGATATAATCTAATAAAGTATGAAAACTTCACTTCCATAATATATACATTCAGATTAAAGACAACATTAGGTCAGTGCATAGTCGTGAACTTGAGTCTGGTAACACTGACTCCGGACCCAAGGAAAACACACGGTTGCCGAATACTGCAGTAAAACGCGACTCTTCAGATGCCACCAAACTTTTAAACCCCATCCATTTTTATTATTCCTATCCTCTATGTTATTGAACCATGACCATGCGCAATAATTAGTTGATAATATTGACTGAGAGAAAATATACCAATGATAATTGATTATAGCAGACGGACGAACATAAGAACTTAAAGGACCACTTGTGATTATTTTTAAAAACGGACCCCTTAACTTCCGGCACGTGGTGTAACAAATACCCCGTACTACACACACACAAAAAAATTACTATTAATACACACAAGTTGAAAACCAACCCTTCAAGTTTGTTTTCCGACTGAAAAAATATTCCTACTTCAATGTTGATTTGTCATTAGTTAGTACTGGAGGTCCTCTTGGCGTTATAATGTACAAGTACCTATTCATACTTCGTCATTATAATGTTTTAAATCAACAGGAGTACTTACGACTCAAGTCACACGGGCGTCTCCTGCCAGTACACGTCGACACAACTGGCGACAACCGACACACTTGACAGACTCCCAATTATCAAAAAAACATTATTTCATGCACTGTACTTGTTGAATTATCGAATAGAAGTTTGGTTTAGGTGGTTAATTAACGTGTGTGTGTGTGTTTGTGATAGAAATAATTAAACTATTTTATTTACTCAAATAAAAAAAAAATAAAAAAATTGCCTTATGTACAAAGTTAATCACCGCAGAAGTGAGTGAGTCACCTTGGACTCGGAAGTAATACTCAACTCAAATATTCGCCAGTTAATTTTTCCTTTAACTGGCAATGAGCCACTGAACCAGTTACGGTTGTCTAAATTTAATGTCGACGCTGTAAATTTTTGCCGTATCTGTAATGTTTTTTCTCACAGGTAGTTTTAACAACACGAATGACAAGATTATTGATCAGTAACTACTATACTTTAGTGAAGCTTGAAGCGCCATCCCTCATGGCTGATACAGTAGTTGTACCTGATAGTTTTTTTTTTGGTTACCGCTACAACGTTTCCATTTTCTTTAATTCTCTTTTATTGGGGGTCTTCTCTATTTTATCACACTTGCTTGTCTTATTTATTATTATTTGTATTATTTGTATTAGTGTTACCAGTTTTATTACAGTATTAATAAATATGAAAGGATTTGGATTTATTGAAGACCCAGTGGAGATACCAGCATATACAGATCCCGTCTCTCCAAACACCAGATTATGGTTTCCATTGAACATTAATAAAACAGGTTTTTCAAAGACCAGTGATGAGAATGAACTAATATTAAAGAAGCCATTAACTTGAAGGTAAATGCTACAAATACGAATATTAAATCAAATGGAATAAAATTTAAGTGACAATGACTTAATGGATTATATCGAGGAGTCAGAGCTGGCACAATATTACTTTTCTTTTTTATCCTATTCACCACTGATCGGCTCTTTAGCCGCTTGGGCGGTTGGTCACGTCTCTGTTGGCAGGTACTGGGCATGCACTGGCTCAACAATGTATCTGTGTCTGCGCCAGATTTGGTCAAGTCTGGATTTGAATGAGCTCACACTCGGTGCCGTCACAACACTCTCTGGCAGATTGTTCTAAGAGTTTACAATTCCCATTACGAAAAAGTTACCCCTCACAGTTTTCTGGAGTTGTGGCTTCCTCAGCCTTGAGTTGTGACCCCTTGTGGGGCGGGCGTCCGCCAGGGCCACGTTCTTTTCACCCAAAAGGAAGGCCGACAGTATCCTTGGTTTTCATTTCACCCCTGGCATACACATAAAAGGATTTGGGCTAATTTCATCTCGATGCCGTTTGGTTGATCTAATTTCCTGACTGGCCATATTTAGGGCTCTTTTGTTTACTCTAATAGTCTACATGATTTCCTGTGCTCCGGTATTTCTTCCACATATTGTATTTCTTCTTGTAGGCTTCCCTAGATTTGTGATTCATCTACTTGGTCTTATTCCATCTTCTCTTTATTTTCTTGGGTATACATTCATTAACTGTTAACTCAAGGATTTCTCTAGCATTGATTTTTCTGTCTGACTCCTCTCTAACAATTTCCTCCCAGTTAATTCTCTGTAGATTGTCTCTCATGAGCTGGTTATCTCCGTGGTTGAGGTCATAGTATTCCTGCTCGTCTACTTTCTCTGGACCATCAAAGAATGTATTCCATCTTAGTATGTTGTGGTCAATGGTCGGTGTTGGTTTCTTCTCGACATGGACCTCATCCACCGCAGCCTCCTGAGTCGTCAAGAGTAACAGCCGTTTTCTCACTCGTTCGGGAGATAGGTGAACACGTTCAGAAGCTAGCTCCGACACATCAATGGGTTTATTAAATTTGTTTCCGAGGCCTCTCACACCAGCCCGACACTTGTTCTGTGAAGAATGAGTCTTGTATGAGATCAACGAATTCTTCTCCCTCGGCTTGTGTGGTAAGATTCACCCAGTCTGTTGTCTCATGATTAAAGTCTCCCATGATGAAGGCTTGTGCTCTGAATGCTGTCTGTATGAAAATAAACATCTGCTACTTCCTCCCCCGAAGGTGAGTCAGTCCTATACACACACCTACTGTCACCTTGCTTTTGTTTTGAGCTATCAAATCACATCAAATAGATTCGAATGATCCCATTTTTTTAGCTTGTCATTAATGGTTGCTCTCAGGTGCTCCTTCACATACAGTAGTACACCACCACCTCTTGTGGCCCTGTATTTTCTGAATGGTGGGTGATAACCTGGTAAATAAAATTCACTCTAACACATCTCGACCCCACAACTCGACTGAGCAATGGATTCTGATGTGCTTATAGAATTCTTTTAAGTCACCCCTTGTCCGTCAATAATTTAAGCTAGGCAACTGCGTTCCAATCTTTGCGGGTACCTGAGGTGCTAGGCTCGGGCGCCAGCCTGGTGACCCTCTTTTGGACGTTCTCAGTCATTTGACAGTCTCGAGCGTATCTCGGGGACCAGACAAGATGACAGTAGTATTGGAACGATATTTCTGAGTCCTACAAGTTTACATGCTTGATTTATTTTTTTCCACAGTAGTCAGAGGACTTCAGTTCGTTGTCAGCATGCACACCAAGGTTCTTTTCACATTTGGTCTCGGTTAATTAATTATGTTTCTTTGTCACTTTAGATTGTGATACTCCCCTCTTACAATTGGTATGACCTAGGTTGCAACGTTGAATCTTAACAGCCATTCCTCTGACCACCCATGAAGTTAACAGAGATCATCTTGTAATGCTCCACAGTCCGTTTGGTTCTTAACTTCCCAGAATAATTTAAAGTCGTCAGCAAGCATTTGTGTAGAAGAATGAAGAATATCTCGAATATCATTTGTGAAGCAAACAAACAACAACGGTCCCAGCATATAATGCTCTGTGGTATCCCTCTTGTCACGGGTACATATGACGGTTTCGTGCCATTAATCAACACACACATACTGCTTGTAGTCATGAAGAAAGTGTTTGATCCATGCAAGGGCGTTCCCTCAAATTCCTTACCCTTCTTAACCTTTCATGAAGTACGCTATCAAATGTCATTGCAAACTCAAGGTATATACAGTACACATAGTGTCAATGTAGGCGCCACGCTTCAGAATCTGTGTCCACACATCCAGCAACTCAAGTAATTGCGTCAAGCTGAAGTGTCCAGTCGTAAAACCGTAATGGCGTTCCTTTACGAGGTTGTTCCATCACAGCGTCGCACATAATGCTCTCTAGTACCTTACACATTATGTTGGTGAAATACACCAGCCTGTAATTGTTCGTCAAGCGGTGATCTCCTTGTTTGAATGTTGGGTTCAAATATGCCATTTCCCTATCCATTTTAACGTGTACGTGTACGTGTGTGTGTGTGTGTGTGTGTGTGTGTGTGTGTGTGTGTGTGTGTGTGTGTGTGTGTGTGTGTGTGTGTGTGTGTGTGTGTGTGTGTGTGTGTGTGTGTGTGTGTGTGTGTGTGTGTGTGTGTGTGTGTGTGTGTGTGTGTGTGTGTGTGTGTGTGTGTGTGTGTGTGTGTGTGTGTGTGTGTGTGTGTGTGTGTGTGTGTGTGTGTGTGTGTGTGTGTGTGTGTGTGTGTGTGTGTGTGTGTGTGTGTGTGTGTGTGTGTGTGTGTGTGTGTGTGTGTGTGTGTGTGTGTGTGTGTGTGTGTGTGTGTGTGTGTGTGTGTGTGTGTGTGTGTGTGTGTGTGTGTGTGTGTGTGTGT